ATTACAAATAAAGACTAACTCGGTTGCTCAATAAGTACCTATATTCGACCTGCTATAGTAGGATTCTCCTTCTTCCAGACCCCTCCTGCAATTGGATATGACCCGGCTCTCAACAGATGGTACCTACCGCTCATCATGACCATCTCTCTCTTCTTTCAGACTTCTTCTACCTAAGCCTGACAACAAAATTAAAACCCTTATTCATATATAAAAGTGAAAAAAATAATACTATGTTTATGAAAGACATAAATATTTTAGAAAAAAAAACCTTATAGTAGGGAAAAAAACTTTCAACAAATTCTAAAATAGTTTAACATAAATAAACCAAAATGAAAAAAGCGAAAAAGAAAGGTAGTCATGATATACTATTATAGCCTGTGTCAGGTATAAGAATAAAAATTATATAATAATTACAACTAATTAATATATCTCGATTGTAAGATGTTGCCTTATCGTAGAGAACTTGTTCTGAGCACTGACAAAACTTAGGTATCTCTTTCCATATCGTAGTGCTGTATTGATAAACAAAACAAACACATGGTTGCATTCTACTGAGTACATCCAAATTAGGAAGGTGTAAACAATGCTGATCTTTTGGAGGGGTGAGCCCAAATACCCACTTTTTTCAAAAATTTTGGAGAGAATAGCAAAAGCAAAAGGGAGATAAAAAACCAAGCAAAAACACCAAAGAAATATCTACCCAAGCCTGCACAGTACTAAGTTTTTTCAGTGAGTGATGAACTCAGAGCTTGTCGGCAGGTAGCGTATGAGAACTACCTCTAAACAACAAGTGCCATGCCTATAATAGGTACTTTTTCCTATGTTTCACATTAAGGCTCCTTTCGAACCAAATCATGATGTATGTTATTCCAAGGAAATTCTTCAAATTTCTAGGGAGTGTCGTTAGAAAAACCTATTTGTTGTTCTCTTTCTATTCTATTCTTTTGCATTACAAGTTACTTCGTTGACAAAAAGGCCCCAACTTCTCATGAGCATCTTTTTTTCAGAATTTTAGAAGCAAAGGTGCCAACTCTTGCTAGTTATTTTGTTTCCTAACGCTTCTGGTTTGTATGCCGAATATGCAAAGGAGTCTCTGAAATCAAAAGGTTGACCTTTACAAAAACCACCCCATAAGCTGTCTTCTTCTCTTCAACAAATTTTGGTTTTCATTTGGTGGGAATTTTGGTCCAGGTAATCATTGGAAAGAGTTATGCCTATATTAAATATTATAAATTATAATATTTGTATATTAGTATATCAAAAGAAGCAAAGACAGTTTAAAATAAGAAAACTTAAGTGTTAATTGTTTAGCAGAATACTTAATTAGCATCTATTACTGCAGATATTTAATAATAAATAAAAGCCTTATATTCATCCTTTTTAAATTCAATTTTTTTATAATAACAATTTCATTATTTAAGACTAGTTATTCAAGATAATATGTTATACTACAAAAACAGAATAGTGTTTAGATAATTAAAAATTTAAAAAATTATTTAATATAAAAGTTACAAACATATAGATTATACAAAGCATATAATATACAATATTGGTAGGTTTAGGCCGCAGATAAGTTACTAGATACACTTAGTTTCTAGGTCTTCTTAGCTATATGTCTAAGTTCTTATTCTTAGCACTAGGCTTAAAATATAAAACCTTTTTCAGTCATGTAAAAAGTTTTCATTAAGTTTAATAAAGATAAGAGCAAGGTTTCACCTTAAATATTAAAAAAAAAAATAATAATAATAATATACAATATTGATTTTATTAAAACATATAGATATTTACTAAATATTCATTTGTTTTGCCAAATCTTGGAACTATATGAACTGTTTTGTAAATGCTTTCTATTAGTATACAAGTATACTGATTAATTAATTTTAATTTAAAACATCCCCATAAACTATTTTCCTTTTCTTCATCATACCAATGTACAAGAGCAAAGTCAAGTGGTTCTTTTTCTTTTGCTTCATAAAATTTGAGAATTAGTAATACCTTAATATGCAATAAATATTAGTAAGTATATAGCTATAACAATTAGAATATTTTATTCTTACCTGACTATACTAATCTACTTCATTTCCTTCTTCATTTTTAGTATTTACTAATATATTAGAGAACATGAGCTTTCCATGAAAACTTTTTGTTGCATGAACAAATTCAGTATTCTTTAAAATAGCAAAAGCAAATATTTCTATATAACTGTCTTCATGAATCATTATATTAGATTCTTCTTCAAAAATTTATAAAGACTATTTAATAAGTTATAAAATCCTTCAACTTGTAGTAGGTTCATTTTATTTTTATTACTTTGAAGAAAGTTATTTAATTTTTTCAAATTAAATGTCCATAATTGCTTGCCATATCCTTTTACATGTTTATTTTTTTTGACAGAATTTTTTTCAGTCAATTTTTGCTGCTTTATCTAATAAATAATTAATTATTAGCAATATATAAAAAAGAATTAGAATTAATTAATTCTTACCGATTTTACTATTTGTTTTATAAAATTTTTTTTATTAGACATACAGTAAGGCTTTTTAACATATATCTTATGAAGAGTTTCATAAGTTTCTGTATTTATACAATTTATTGCTCCATATTTTTTGATTGCAGATATTAGATGATAGCACTACATATGTAGTTTTGGAAATTGTAAACTACTTCGAGAATAATGTGAAAATATATTAACAAATTCTTGAGCCCATTCATTAATAAGAGTCTGTAAAAAATTATTAGAATTTTATAAATATTGAAACAAACAACTTATTTCATACCTGAAGTTGAATATATAAATTGTTTGTAAAAGAATCCTCTCTAGTAGCAATATACATTTGAAGAAATTAGTAAAATACTTTATACAATCTTTCATTACTAACTTCTGGCTCTCCATATATATTATAAAGATTATCAAGTACAAAAATAATTACTTTCATTATATTTCTCAAATTATTAGCTGTCATACATACTATATCAGAAGTGTTTTTTACTATTTTAAAACCTTGAAATTTGGGAATTAAAGACAATCGTTGTTTAAAGATTTGAATTACTTGACTTCTACACTGTTTATTTAAAAGATTTTTTGTATAATCTAACATATACTTAAATAGACCAAGATCTAATATATGTATTCAATTAGGAACAGTTGCTTCATATATATTAAAATTTCTAAATAATTTAATTATTTTAATAATATATTTTTAATTTTTAATTATCTTTCATATTTTTTATTTCATACCTTATTTTCCAAAAAATATTTTTTTCAGGATGGATTGAGTATTCTTGTGCCTTACTATTTTTTATTATTTTTTCATATTGTTGGGAGTTCTATAGTCAATATTATTTAAAGTTGTATTGTTTAAATTATTTTTTAATGGATAGGAGCTTGCCCACTGTACTACTAGTAGTACATTTTTTAAAGTTTATAAAAAATCTAAAAAAATTATATATTCAAATAATTTTTATATACAAAAATCTGATAAATACTCTAGTTTAACTGCAAAAAATTTAAATTTAGATTTATAATAAAGTTTTTAAAAAAAAAATTTTTTTAAGTTTTTATTTTTGTAATTTTTTTAATGTACTACCAGTAGTACACTTTTAAGTTAATTTAAATAATTAAATTACTAATAAATTTTACAAATTTAAATGTTAATTATATAAATAATTTAGAAATTTTATTATATTTAAAAAATTATTATTAGTTATATTGTAATAATTATTACTTGTATTATAAGCTTAATTTAAAATTTATTGCAAATTATTACTTATTTTAAATATAAATTTTAAAAAATTTTATATAGTATTTTTTAGTAAAAATTTTGTATATAAAAAATTTCTATAAAATTTTAAAAAATACTTAGAGTTACTAAACTTTAGATATAAGTTGTTACATATATAAAATACTTTATTTAAATATTTAATAGCTTATTAATTTGTTAAATTAGTAGATAATTAGCTTTAAAGTTGTCACAATGTAGTATAGTGTACTACTAGTAGTATGGGTTGCTCCTATCCATTAATATTAAACAGGTTCTACATGGTTTTTTTGAAGAGTGTGGCTAATAAATATTTGCAAATTTATGAGCTTCAGCCATGTCAGCTATAATAACTGAAATTCGTGGAACAAATAGAATTATATTACCACAAACTACAAAATTAAACTTTGGCCTTCCAAGTATTGGCTTAAGAAAAATTGTTAAGTATTGCTGAAAAACTTCTCTTTGTAATTTTCGAAAAGTTTCTGAATTTTTTGTTTTTAAATCTTTAGCTTTTAAAACTGGAAAATATCCAATTAGTGCTTTAGATTCAGAATTGTTTTTTTGAAGGTTTGAAATATTACCAAGAGATAAAAATATGGAATGCCTGAAAGATTTGCTTATATGGTCCAAAGTCATTGCATCAGAATAAAGAATAATTGAAAGTAATCGTTAATCAAGTAAAAGATATGATTCTTCTTTCTTCCACCAATCACAATTATATTGTTCTTCAAATATACAAACTTTTTTATCTTTATTTTTATATTTTTCTTCATATTCCAATACAAAATTCTGATTAATACTATTAATTGCCAATAATGACTTTATTGTATTAATTAAAGATCGGTAGTAGAAGGTATATTCAATATTCTGAAATATAATAACAGGGGTTTCTTTAAAAATAGTATATGGAATATCAGAACTATCTAAAAATCTTTTCCAATTTTTGTTAATAAAGGCAATGGTGAAACTTCCAAGTTAGAAAACTTATTAAAAAAATTTATAATAGCATCACTAGCTGAATTTGACAATTGATATTTAGTGGCAATTTCCATAAACTCTTTATATGCATTGTTAAGCCATTTTACTACTGGTAGATTTTGCAAATCTTGATAGACATCAATCTTTGATGCTCCTTTATAATCTTCTTGATCAATTTTGATATTTTCTAATTCATTATCAGTTGAAAGAGAATCATCACTAATTATAATAGGTGCAACTTTAATTGAAAAAAAATTATCTTCAATTTGAAGAGATTTTATCTTCTATTATATGAGGCATATCCTCTATTAAATAAGATGTATTACCTATTATATTAGGTTTATTATCTCTTATATTTTCCATTAGATCCTCTATTATATCAGACTCATATTCTATTAGATCCTCTATTACATCAGACTCATATTCTATTAGATTCTTTATTATATTGTTATATTAATATTATATTAGTACTTTAAATTTTATATTATTTATCTACGTATAACTACTAAGTGTAGTACAAATATTATTTAACCAATAGAATCCTTAATATTAGTTTTATTAGTATAG